TCTTGGAAACTGCTTTCCACTGTCCTCTACGCAGTCTAGATCAAGTCTCTTGATAGATGGGTGTATGTTGTGTCTCCACCGAAGAGACCTAAGTTACAGGCCTATCTCTGAGGTCTGCCTGAAAGTGAGGGAACCACAAATGTCCCCAGTCAACTGTTTTCCCAGAGTAGCCAGAAATGTGCCCATCAGTGAGAACCCGGTAGGTGATCTCAGGATGTACAGCTGTGCCCCGAGCAGTAGGTGTCACTATAGTCAGTGGCTTCTGCTACTCAGTACTTAAGGGGTTAATCGGGTCTGGTGTAGCAAGGAGAAAGGGGCCCATCTGTGTCCTGCAGGGTGCTGGTCTTTGTCTCCAGGGCACAGATGACCCCAGTGGAAGACCCAAGTGGGCTCCATTTTTCCCTAGGACGGGCAGAGGGATCCTTTGCCATCTGTATTTTAGACGCTAAGGCTGGCTCTTGGGTGTTATGGAGTCTGGTGGGTTGGAGTGGAGACACTGGTGAGATGATCCTTCTAACCTTTGGAAGGGAGACCTAGAACCAGGGGAAGGGGAGGATTCTATGAAGAGAAGCAGGAGAATCTGGATTAGCCTGAGGTGTTTCCTGGTTACTGCTGCTGAGCAGTTACATTTGGGCAGTGAGAGGGGGCAGAACTTCCATCAGCCTCCCTCTCAGAAATTTCCCTTGCACCATAAAGGAGGCAAAGCAAAGCAAAGCAAAAAAAAAAAAAAAAAGAAGAAGAAGAAGAAGAAAGAAAGAAAATCTCTTTCTAGCAGAGCTGTACTTCTCTTTTGCCACTTCCACAAAGCTAATTTTCAACCACTAAAATGGAATTTAGGATTTAGAAATAGCTACTGTGTTGACTAATTAAAAAAAAAAATCCCCTGATTACATAGCCAATTGCCTTTTCAAGTACACCCAATTTTACTTTTTCCTTTCTAGTAACAACACCCTGGTGTAAAACAAAATCAAACCGAGGAAACTCACTGCAGAGTTTCAGATTCATCTCATCTCTCATTTCTTGCCCAGATAACCATCTCTCTCCCCACCCACCACCCATGCAGCAGTAGATTGTCCTTTAAAGAAAAACACGCGGAGACAATCTAGGGTGTATGCACAGACTCATTAAAATCACTCCTGTCCAGTCTCTGCTCCTCCCCGCAGCCTGCCTGTTGGCTGCTGGGCGCAGCCTGATTAAGCCCTGCTCTTGGTGGTACAATACGTTAAGCTCAGACTGCTCTTTCTCTCTCTCTCTCTCCCCTTCTGTCTCCCCCGGAGCGAACGGCTCCTTTTAAACCCTCGCACACTCGCTGATCCAGGTGGCGTCGCTCGCTGCGTCTCCTGCTCGCTGTTGCTAAGTGAGAGGCACCAAATCGCACGGAAAGCTGAACCAATAGCATCCTGACCCCCATAGGCTGGTAAAAGCTGAAGAAAGAGAACCCCACAGTGCGGTCTGGGACCGGCGGGTCCTCCTCCCCCTCCCACCTTTTCTTTTGCAACAGGAAGGGGAGGTGGCAAGGGAGGTGGTAGGAGGAAGAGGGAAGAAAGAATGGGGGAGGTGAATCCTAATACGCTTGGCTGTACTTGAGATAAATGCCATTTTTTTTTTCTTTGTGAAGGAAAAGGAACGGTCGCTTCCCCCGTGCAATCGCACACCAGCAGATGCGCTTCTCTCTGCCCCCAAACTGCCTGCGTTGTCAGGGCTCATCTGAATAAGATGTCTGTTGACCTGCACATCCGCGTGGCTTTTCTCTCTCCCCGCGCAGCCTGCAGTCTTTTAATCCCGCAGTTCTGCGGCTCTGGGCACCCTGTTCCTTCCTCCTGTTCTCTCTCCTTTCCTTTCTGTCTTGTGACAGTCTCCTCCCATTCCTGAGTGCATTTCCTTTGAATGCAAAAATGAGCAAAGGGTATTTTATGTGTCATCTCCTAACGTCCTTAGATCATTTTAGGGAGTGGGACAAGGGCGGAGGCATATTTATAAAGGTAATTAAAAAAAAAACGATTAAGGATTCATAGTCTTTTGGCAAGGTCTGTGCTAGTACAAAGTGAAATGAGAGGCTGTTCTTAACTGGCTCACTGCCAGTGTAGACAGCCAGTGGTATAGTTGAGATTATACACAGGAAATGACCTTTCTCCTATAATTACCAGGATATTTTAGGCAACATCAGACCCGAGTTACCTGGGTAATTATGGCTTTGTAGATCTGACCTTAGAACAAAACAGATCCCGTGGAAAATGTTTGCTCTCTTTGGTGATGACAGTGTGAAGGGCCCCTTGCCCTCGCAGCCCCATGAAGCCTAAGTTCAAGGAGACTTTCCTCCATTCTGTGTCAAGCAGGTTCCCAGCAAGTTGATCCTGACCTTTTGGAGATGGCGCTATTGTTTGGTTGCTTTGAAAAACTAATCTGCATTTATTTCTGAACCAAGGATGTTGAGGTGCTCTGTAACCTCCTGGGTTTGCTCTGTTTGGGTGGGATGTCAGGCTTAGATGGCCCACTTGCCCCAGGAAGTGTTCTCTTTGTATTTGAAATCCATTTCCTTTACTCAGGGTCACACAAAGAAGTGACTATTATTTTCATCCTCCACCTGCTTCTCACAGCCTTTATACTCATTTGGGGCTTTTTGTTTGTTTATGTGAACAAAACGAAACTGCTTTCATAAAGAAAGTATCTGCTTAAGCAAAAAGGGAAGCCCCACTGAAAAACCTTACCCAGTGCTGAATGTCTGGGACATTTTCCTTTTTTGTCTCAAAAGTTTCTTTTTCTCATTATCACGAGAAGATAGTCAGGGCTGCCAGCTCTTCTTTATAATATTTAAAGAGAAAATTCATAGATAACCTTCAAACCTCATTTTACTTTCAGTCTCCTCTAAGTTAAACCAAAGGGATTTACAGGTCACCCAACCCCTTCGTCTACTGTGCCTATTCTGGGGGGAAGATGTTAATGACAAACTAATGCTGCAAAAATGGGCCCAGAAGTTAAGAAACAAAGACGGACAGACAGACAGACCAACAAGTCCTGTAAGTTGACTCATCCTGTGGTTGACCAGGGCTGGCTACTCTGAGGTGGTGTTCCTTGGGCTCCTCTGTCTGTGCTCAGCATGTTCTCAGGGCTAGGCACCCCCTGTGCGGGAAGAGCTAGGCCCTGGTTGGTGCCTCCCTCTCTGGGCTGCATCCCTCACTGTTTGACCAACTTCATTATTCAGATACAGGCGCTGTACTCCAGCCAAGGAAACCTGCCAGGACCAGCTCCCCTGCTTCTCTCTTCCTGGTTTATAATTCTCCTCCTCCAAACCCCAGCTTCACACCACTCCCAACTCATTTGGCCACACACAGACCCCTCTAAGTCCCCCAGCACTTTGCCCTCGAGTGCACACTGGTCTGACATCCTTCGTGGGCCTCCTTATAAGGCCTCTGTCAGATTGCCCTGGGGACCTGCTGTGTCCTCTGCTCTGTGCCTTTGCTTACCCGTGCCCTCTGTCCAGATCGCTCCTTTCCCTCAAGCCTCTCCCGTGGATAACTTGGTCTCAGAAGTGCTCTTAAATACAATTTCCCCAGTGAACGCTCTCTCAGGGTCTCCCCCTCAGACTTTATCTTCCAGTCCTTTGAAGCACCATGGCTACCTTTTCCTTTCCCCTTTTGGAACTTTTTACTTTCTACTTTCAGTTGAACTTGCTGCATCCTGGGTAGTACTGGTGCAGCCCAAGGAGGACTCTAGTCCCTCTCTTGTGTCCACTTTGGCATTCCTGCAAAGCCACATCAAATAAATATATAATTGCACACAGACTGCATTTGCTTTGTGAACATCACTTCGCCGGGTGCCCTTCACGGCCCAGTTGATAACCTTAAATTCCTTTTATATAGAAAATCAGAAACCGTATCCTTTCACTTTAAGTTATTCAGAGCCAGACTGGGTCTTTCTTATCTACCTATTTCCTATATTTGTCCACTTTATGTTGCTATAACAAAATGCTTGAGGTTTGGTAATTTGTTTTAAAAAAGAGGTTTATTTGGTTCACAGTTCTGAAGGTCCATCTTCTGCTCCATCTGGTAAGGACCTCATGTTGGTGGTGTTACAGTAGTAGAAGTAGAAGCGGTCCCAGGGAACACAGGAAGCCAGGGAACTTTGGGGGTCAGGCCTGCTCATTTATAACTTGTTCCCACTAGAAAAAGTTGGAGTCTCATGAGAATGGTATCAGTCCTTTCTAAGGGCAGTGACCTCAGTGGTCTAACCATCTCCCACTAGGTCCCACCTATTAAAGGTTTCACCACCTCTAATGCAGTCACATTGGGGACCCAGCTTCCAGCAGATGACCCATAAGGGGCAGACCACAATCAAACCACAGCATTCATGAAGTCCGTAACTGCTTTGTACCCAGGGAGCACTGTTGCATTGTCACATACTGAAGCCCAGGAAACCTGAAAAGGCATGTCTGTCATTTGCCAGGTTCATAAACAATGTGTGAGGAGAAGAGATGAATTTTCTGTGAACATTTTAAATTAGATCATGAGATCACAAAGAAATTCAGCTAAATATTACTGTGCTTACCATTCAGAAGAGTCTAGATGATGATACAGTAACAAGCAACTCCAAAATCTTAGTGATTTAAATTAAGAAACCAAAGTTTGCTTCTTGCTCATCTATATTGTGGATTGGTGGAGAAAGGGGGACTGTATTTATCCCGTTGCTCAGGGACTCTTTCCAATAAAACCAGCATTGTGTCCCACTCCTGGTTGTGCCAAGGAAAGAGAGCTCCAGAGGGTTTGTTTTGAGTGGATCATGTGGGCTCTAACCTCAACAGTGGGTTGATCCATCATAGGCTAATAGTTTGAATGAACTACTGGGAGGAGGAAGGAACTGCAGGCAGGTGGGGGCATGGTTGGATAAAGTAGGTCAACCCCTGGGGACTATATCTGCCTCTCACCCCTCCCTCCCTCTCCCCCCCTTCTTTCCCCTTCCCCTCCCCTCCCCCTCCCTCTGTCTCTCCCTCCCCTCCCCTTCTCTCTCTTTCCCCTCTTCCTGGATACCATGAGCTGAGTAGCTTTCCTCCACCCTCTCCTCCTGCCATGATGTTTGGCCTCACCTCAGTCCTAAGCAATGGAACTAGGTGACTGTGGACTGAAATGTCTGAAATCATGAGTCCAAATTCATCTTTTCTTCCTCCAAGTTTTTCTTGTCAGATGTTTTGGTCACAGAGGTGAAAAGCCAATAAACACAATTCAGTGCTCCAACCCAGAAGTGGTGTCTGTCACTCTTATTTGCTCACAACTTATTTGTCAGAACTAGTCACATGATCCCATGTAACCACACAATATTCCAGAAAGTTGAGAGATGTTGAAAGTATATTGATTGCTTCATTCTTTTGAATTATGCTCCAGGTACCTACCTAAGGACTACTCTGAGGTTTTGACTGTTGCCATAGTCAGGATCCCAGAAAATCAGGACAGGTTTTATGATTTTACACTAAGAAATTAGAGTATACAAATGTTCCATAATAGTTGCATTCTTTTTCTTAAGGAAACATTAGAAGCAGCCTAAGTATCCAATAGTAGGGGATTCTGTAAGTTATAGTATATATAGAAAATGGAATACATATAGCCATTAAAATTATATTTTAGAATACTCATGAGATTGAAAAAATGTTGAGAGTATATATTGATTGCTGCATTCTAAAAAAGCAGGCCCTGGGAAAGGAGATGCAGCAAATTCTCTTTAAAAAAAATGCATTGAAATTGAGTGTAGAATGGTAGTGACTGGTGGTTACTAGAGGCTGGAGGCAGGAGAGGTGGTGAGGCTGGGGAGAGGTTGGCCAGCGGATACTAAGTTGCACGTAAATAGGAACAAGAGGTCCTAGCCTGCTGCTGCACAGTGAGGTGACCTCAGATAACAGTTGTGTCCTGCATATCTACAAAAACTACAAGAAGAGATTTTTGATTGTTTTCCCCATGAAGAAGTGATATATGTTAGAAGAGAAAGAAATGTTTGGCCTAATTATTCAGTTTATGTAGACATCAAAACATTACATGGGACCTCATGAATATGTGCAAGTGCTGTGTTTTATGTGTCAGTTAAAAATAAATTTAATTAGGAATTTTTTTTTAAAATGCAATAAAGCTGGAAATCAGAAGATTAACAGAGGACTTTTACTTTCTCATGGTAATATGATGGGTGGATTTTGTGCTTTTTACCTTGCTGGGTTCTTTTTGGAGGGGGCCCGGGGGCAGTAGGTAAGCAGGAATGGCTTTCGTTGTCCATAAGAGGATATGTAAATATCTCTGGACTCCGAAATGTGTTCATTTCAAGTAGCATGTATGATATGACTTCTTTTAGGTGAATAATTTGGTATAGGAGGTCCACAAATGTGTCTCCTATGTCTATGGTGGGACGAGCCTGGTGCCAAGAGGCGAATTCCTTAGCGGTGCTCCTGTGGATGAGGAGACAGCTCACATGTGTCCGGGAATGGGCGTTCCACCATTTCTTGCCCTTTCTTCTGCCGAGGCGCTGTATAGATCTTCCATGGCATTTTGACTTGACATTTCACAGCTGCTGCAAATCCACTAAGCAGGGACTTGACACTGGCACTTTGAGGCCGCTGGTAGCACGTTGGTTTGTAAAGAGATGCTAAATTTGCTGAGATAGGGAAAAGCTGGCGTGTATTTATTTTGGGATGAGACGGACTCTTGTGAAATAGGGGCCCATCCTGAAGAACTTGTAGCACTCATTCATCTTGTGTTGTGCACGGAGCTAGAATGCCACAGCTGTCATGCGCTCTCAATGAACGATTGTCATATTGTCAATCCACAATAATACAGAACAATTTTCATTCTCCATGTTGAAGCGTTGCCATTGTAATATAATTCAGTTCATATAACAATGCTTTGATGACAATGCTTACCGCTCCGCCCTTCCAGCTCCCCCTCTCTGCTTTTCTTAACCAGAGGGAAATGTATTTTGACAATACATCCAGCGTTACCAGTTTTCTGCTTTTAAAACATTTTGGGCACCTAGCCCTCATCGAAAATGAAGGGAACACACCAGTCTATTTCCCCTTTCTGATTGGACTCCCTTGGGATTCCATAGAGCTTTACCTAGAAGAACTTAAACATATTTTTAGCAAGTTCGTATCTATTCTCCATGAGAAAGAAACAGGTGTTATTATTGTCTTCTTACAAGAAGCACAATTAGAACTCAACTCTCTTTGCTTTAGGTGTTACCGTCTGTTTCTTAAAGAGTCTGATTTTTTTCCCCTACCATTAACAGTGCTGTCCATTGTGTTTATGTGGATGAATTAATGGCCCTAATGAATTTATATTCGCTGATTTTCCCTGGAGGGGAAATTCATTCTGTGTATAAGTCTTCACTGATGTTCAAGGTACTTTCCTGTGGCAGTAGACTAGTTTAAACCGAATGTGAGTGTTGTCTTTGTTAGCCTTTTCCCAGGATCTAAATTGAGGTGGGCACAGTTGATATGATTAAAATACGCTGTGCATTCTTGTATCAGCTGTTCCTGGTAGATGCTGTGATTTTAAAATACAATTTTTATGGTCGCTGTTGGATGTTGGATTTTCTGTCTTTTAGTTTTTTCACCAGCTCAGATTCTTGCCTGAAAATATGTGGCAGAACACGGGGAGAGCGAGAGTTTGAGACAGGGAGAAAGTTGGATGTCAGAAACCACCAGAAATTTTTGTAAGGTCACAAATCCCCCAGATGACTGATTTGAAAGTGCTACGTACGGCATGGTCTTCCTGGGGCCTCTTCCTCAGCATTCCTATAAAGTAAAAAATCAGGGCCTTTGAAATAGCACACTCCTCACATATAGGAAAACAAAATAGAAACTAGGTAAGGAGAATTCAGCCTGGCGTATAAGACTTGAACAGAGCCTTAGGTAAATAAATTTAGATTTAAATGTCTCCTATTCTGCATCTATAAATGACAACTGGAGATGTTAAGAGAGAAGAGGGGTGAGAAGGAGACGGGAAGGGAGAGATACAGTCATAAAATATGCATGTCACGTTCGATTAGTCACGTCCTTAGTGCCAGGGTGCATCTTAGAACAGTCCTGAATTTGAATAGCTTGTCTCTTTGTCCTGATAGGTAGTATTTTTTTAAAATCAGAACTGAGCCTCTGTTTCTGGCTGGCACTACATAGTCGCTAAGCTGTTCAGGGCACTATGTGACCCAAGTCTAGAGGCCCCGGGGTCGTGAAGTACAAGACTTACCCAACAGCTTGGAACAGGAAGTGAAGACCCTGCCACTAACTGAAACTTCACACTAGGGCACCAGGGGCCCATGTCTCTTCTCAGGCAGGAAGCACCAGGGGGGCCCACAGGAAGCTCCACAGTCCTTATGCGGATCCCCACAACACTGTCTTGTCACATGGTCCCTGTGTGACTGGGCCAGACCTATGGGATATCACCCTTGTTTTTGACTTTGCCCCTTTGAAAAGGGGGGCTGTGGATCAGAGTGGGGCGTGGTGGGGGAGGGGCATGGGAGGCAGGGTTTAGCTGAGCCGCCCTTTGTTCACATGGCTGTTCTGTGTGGTCCAGACAAGGTCTGCCAGCGGTCCTGGAAGCCACAAGTTAGAAGCGTTTATTTTGCCTTTATTTTTGCATTTATTCACTCATTCGTCCATCCACTCACTCAGCTGATGACATGGTTAATAGTGCCGCGTCTGGAGTCATGTAGACAGTAGGATGTGAATCCCAGCTCTGCCATTTCCTGGATGTAATGTGAATACTAGTACTTCTGACTTTAGAGGAGTTTGGGCAGAATTAAATTAATTACAAATGATTCAAACGGTATCTTATGTTTAGTAAGACTTTAGTAAAGTCATCATATTTATCTCTCTCTCTCTTTTTCTTTCTTTCTTTTCGCGATGTTCTCTCTATGTTGCTCAGGCTGGCCTCAAACTCCTGGGCTCAAGGGATCCTCCTGCCTCAGCCTCCTGCACACCGTCGTACCCAGCTTGTTTGTTTATTTCCCAAATAAGAAAAGGGCTTCACATAGTCTAAGATCTCTTCTAGTTAAAAGTCTCTGGTAAAATAGGCTCTCTGGATCATGGAACTGCACACGTTCCTGGTTTTTCTATATATTTATCATCATCTGGATAGTTAAAAAAATGAATATTCTCCCTGTCATTAACAGTGTGAGAGGTGAGATCACTCCTCTGGTTTTGGGAGGCAGGAGGGCTGGGTTTAAATCTAGTTCTTCAATTTTGAATAGCTGATCCTCTGCCTCGCCCTCCCTTCCCTTCTGTCCAGTTGATTTCCTTCCATCCTAACCACTGGCCTCCTGACTTCAGAGCCCAAGCTAGCAAAGGCGTGTTTATTCAGTGAAGTGTATGAAACAATTCCCATTCATGTCACTTCAAGACCCAGAGGTACTATAATGTACCTCTGGAAAATTGGAATATCTCACTACGCATATGTATAGGGTCGGACATGAACTCTTGTCTACATAAAAGAAAGTAAAGTTTTATTTTAAATGTCAAAAACATAGAAGTATAAAAAATATTCACAGCGTGTCTTACATTACAACGATTCCTGGGCGCCCTCCGTGAACGTGTCCTAGACTGCATGATCAGACACTTGCTGAACAGCAATTGTAGTTCTGTTCTCTCAGGGACTTGAGTTGAATTAACTGTATTAGCTCAGATTGTCATAGCGTCTCAAGAATAGAAGGAGGGTAATATTTTATGTTTATGTAGTGGTGGAAGAAGGCTATTATTATGCATAATATATATATTTGAATCCTAGTTAAACTGTGAAGAGTTCATTCCTGACACTGATTCCCCTACTCTGGCAAGATACGGTCAGTGTGAAAGACATAAATATGGCAATTACTCTGTGTGCAATTTCACATTTCCATTGTTCACAAAATCATGATGGCCTTTTGTTAAGTACTTTACAATGTGGATTGTCGCTCTGCAGAGAGGGTGTGCTTTGAAGTTTCTGATTTCTGTGGAAGGTAATCTCAGATACAATATGGCAGACCAGCGGTAGAGGAGGAGGGCTGGTCAGGTTCGAGAGGATGTCCACCATATTACTCTTGCATGGGAGGGACTGAGTTATGGTACCTGCAGAAGCTCAGGTGGGAGGGACCCTCATCCTGCACCTGGACATGAAATCCGTCTGAGTCCTACACGGTGATTGGTGGTTGGGGAACCTCCCTCTCTGGGGTTCAGGCAAGTTTTCAGGTCTATCCCATAAGTTCAAAATATAGTTCTTAGTTTCCCTTTGTCTCCCACCCCATATCCATTTGCTGATTCAGACGATTAGGGATACTCTCAGTGAGACGATGAAGTAGAAATAGAAATGAAAATGGAAACGTGTTCCCTCCTCAAGGATCTCATAGGATGCCCTCCTTCACAGGAGACCAGATCAGCTTGCTACCTAAAGGAAGCGCTAGAGTCACCCTCTCCCTCCCTTTCCCACCTTTTCTACCTGAACCTTCCTGTCTTGGCCACATTCTGGTCTGGAAGCGTGTCCACCAAGCCTCTCTGCTCTCCTTGTTCAGTTCTGTTTGTGTTCATTCCTTGTCTCCTGTTTGGCCATGCAGAGGAGTTGGTCTTTGAACTTGGTGTGTGTATTTCTTGGGGTGGGGCGGGAGGTGTACCGAGAGGTTGGCAATAGGGTGTATTCGCACTTAAAAGGTAAAAATGATGAGTGAGGTGGCATGTGTCTGTGGTCCTGGTGCTGGGGAGGCCCAGGTTCAGCCTGTAGTTCAGGGGCAGCCTGGGTGACACAGCAAGGCCCCATCTCAAGGAAAGAAAAAAGTAAGGAAGAAACATCTCCAGGTGTTTTATGGCTGTAAGGCAGCACCATGTCAGCTGGGCTCTTGTGTCTGTAACATGTGACGCTGGGACAATCCTCTGAAGAGTCCCTTTTATCAAATCCCTGCCTGGCCCTGCATTCAGGAAGTGCTGCAGCAGAATAGAAAAGGCAGAGGTGACGTGACATAAGCAATGACAGTTCTTGTCCCTCATGCTGTGCCTAAAAGGTGTCAGTAGGAGGAGCAGATGCCAGAGGTAAAGTCACCTTCAAGGTCAGAAGCGTGGTGACTATGAAGATGGTGACCAGATCACTCGTGTGTGCATGGGTAAAGGTTGCCAAGCACGGTCATGGAACGCGCCTCCTGGCTGGTGGGCTGCTCAGGAGTGAGTGTGCGCACAAGGCTCCCCCTGATTGTGCCCAGGTGACCCAGCAGGCAGATAGGGAATTACGGCACTCTCAGAGATCCTTCCACTAGTGTACCTTACCAGCTTGTCCTGTCCTTTCCATCCTTCCCTTGATTCTCATCCCAAGGAAGGTCATAGCATTTCATTTAATTTGCCTTAATTTACCTTACTGTCATTTCTGTATATGCAGAGGCGGCTCTGCGTTGCCGTTGGGCTCTGGTATTTGTGCTGTCTGTAGACTAACTCTCAATCCTCATGACCACCCTGAGAGCCAGGTACTATTATTATCATCCCTATTTTATATAAGAGTAAACTGAAGTACTTGTGTTCAGTATTTTCCTAAAGTCTCACCTCTGGTTAGCAATGGAGCTGGCATTACAAACCCAGACAGTCTGTTGTTGGTGAGGGTTGTCTAAATATATACGGTCCTTCCTTGGGGCACACAGTCATTGTGACAGACCCTAGGAAGTCAGGGGAATAAACACAGAATCTTTGCCCTGCATTAAGATACACATTTAAAAGTATCACAAGTCGCGCAGGGGTCTCTCCATGGTGATGTGCTCTCCTTTCTGTTTGTTTTCAACTGTCCTGACATTTTTACCTGAAGCCTTAAGAAATGCACTGTTGCCAGCCAGCTGGGTGACCTTGGACAAGTCTTTTCATTTCACCTCACCTGTAAAAGCACGAGGTGGGATCAAATGATGCTCTAGGTCCCTTCCAGCTCTGAAGGTGCTTAGTTGTGTCTTTTGGGAATATTTTGCGTGGGCTCTTGGTGGCTCTGGAAATACAGGCCTTCTGATTCTCTTCTTCACCCATGTAGAATTTCTGAAGTGTCCTGTGATCTTTATTAATCACACAGGGACTGTGATCTCCTCAGACTTATGGAATGGCTAAGGTGCCCTCTGCAGAAGATGTCGTGGCTAATGTTCTCATTACTGACTAATTGGCTAAAGAGACTTCTCTCACATTGCATTAAGGCTGATTGATAGTTTTCTATCACCTGATGGGTGGGATGGACAGCCAAACCAATTACCACTGCAAAGAGAGCTCTGAACAGCAGAGCCATGCAGCTGAAGACAAAAGGCCCTTATAGATTATGTCTAGTCGGGGTGCCTGCTGAGAGTTTGCTAAACGAAATCATTTTCTGCAAAGTACAGTTTGACATGCCTTGAAATACGTGTACCTTAGGGTCACCCTTACACTCACTGGGCCTTGTCCTATTAAAGGAGGGTACGTTTCTGGTTATGTTTCAAACAGGGATAGCCTGGATACCTAGTTCGCTTTGTGACTCACACGAGTTAGCTTTGGGCTGGGGGGAAAAACATGCACCCATTTGTTCAAAACTGGAGCGCAGCCTTCCCGTGACTCACATCACGCGGAGACATGCTCTATTTCGATGGAAGCTTGTAGACATAGGGCATTACTCAGATTCCTTTTCCTATTCGTTTTCTTTTCATGTTGCTCAGGCTGTTTAGAGGAAGTAATATTCAGGTCACTTGTTTCGTCATTTAAATTGAGTCCATTTCTTGTAGCTAATGCATTAATTTATTGAAATCTCTGTTTAAAGTGCCAACTCCAGTTGTAGAGTGGAAAGATAAAGTTAAAGCGTAACTCAGGGAACTTCTTGATCACATCTTAGTCTTACTAGGGATTGAACCCAGGACCTCGCATGTTAGGCAAGTGCTGCTGAAATACACATATCTCCAGTGCCTGCCCCCGCTCCCCCCATCAAAGAGTCAGAAGTCATTTTTAATGTTTCCCTCTAAGCAACTCTGAGTTTTGAGATTTTCCTGGAAATGAAAACTCAGGATTCTTAGTGCCTTGGTTTCCCAGGAATCTACTGACTTGTGTTCTACACTCAGCAGTAGACTGAGAGATAGCAGTGCCCCCAAGCAGGACCATACTGATGACCACTGGACTCCTTAGCCTCCTGTGTTCGAGAAAGCTTCAGTCATGTTGGAGAGCCAGACTGCCAAGCTCAGGGGAATGGCTGTAACCACAGATGCGCCACAGTTGCTCTTGAGCCGTTGTCATCTCACCTTCGAGGTGTTTTCTAAAATAGGCACCCAGAGTCTGATGCGAGAAATCAGCTCTAAGAGACCAACTGGTGAGAAAAGAAATGAAAGAAACCATGGTCATTCTTATAATCTGAAAATTCGTGACTGAAATAGGAGGAGGAGGGAAAGACGCATCCTTAGGAGTGGGAACATTTGG